GCCTGCAGCAGAGGCCAGGGCAGCATCAGGCCTCAGGTGCCCCGTGCCCATCCCCGTGGGGCTGGAGGTCCTGCCTGCTGGGGCCATGCTGAGGTGCCAGACGAGCCACAGCTCTTCCCCCCCATCACACCCTTGTGCTTCGTGTAGCAAAACCACAGCCTTGGGAAAGTGGGAGGGGACTCAGCTGGAGATGGGCTGTTGGGCACCCCTGGGGGGCAGGCAGGGCTGTACGAGGGCTCTGTCCTACCTTTGGCAACCTCTGCTCCTGCCAGTCTGGCCCGTATCAGGCCGTGCCTCTCCTGGAGACGGAGGATCTTCACCTTTGGGAACTGTGACATGTACCTGTCCAGGGGCTCCTTGAGGTACTCTGCAGGGAAGGAGGAGAGGGTGAGGTTGACTTACCCACTTCACAACTCCTTCCAGAGGTGACAAGCAGAGGGTAGATTTTCCCTGGAAGCATCTCCAGGACACACTAGGGTCCTTGGGTGCAAACATCTGGGCACAGCTGCAGGGCTTCTGCTACATGGCATTGTGGTCTGACCCTGCTCCCTGGTGAAGCTCCTGTATCAGGGCCAGCAGGTTTAGGCTGATGTTCATGGAGTCATGGAATGGTTTGAGCTGGAAGGGACCTGAAAGATCACCTTGATCCAAACCCTTGCCATGGGCAGGGACACCTGCCACTAGACCAGGGTGACAAGTATAAAAATCTGTTGGAGACATGTCTCCTGTACTCTGTGACGGGTGGAGGGGTTGGTCCTGGGGCTCACCAGGGGCTGCCCTGGATCTGCCCCCCAACAAAGGACAGGGCTGTGGTGGTGGCACCATCTCTTGCTGGGCAGCCACTCCACATGGCTGCAAACCAGGTGGATGCAGCAAGGGTGGATGTGTAACCAATGCTGAGCAAGCACATGGATTTGCTGAATGCAGGAGACCTGGGAAGTAGAGAGCAGCAAGCATGGGGCTTTTGGTGACAGGCCATGAGCTAAATCCCAGTGGCCTGACTGGGGTACTTCATGACCTAAACCAGGTACTGCTCAAAGACTCCAAAATTATGGAATTTTTTCCTTCATTGCACTATAATTGCAATTAAAATCCAGTTGTGGATTTTTTTCCTTTGCCTAAAAAAAGATATTATTATTATTATTACTATTATTATTATTATGCTCTACAAATTTCATCAATTCTGTTTGATTTTCCCCAGGAGAAAGTAACTGTTGCATTCCAAAAGCCAGTTAAAAGCCCTGAAAAGCTCCAGAGGTGAAACATTTGCAGACACATCTGCAGGAGGTGACTGCACTGGGAGGACAGCACTGCTGGGCCCAGCTCTGGAACTCACCCACCCTTGCCAGGTTTCAGCTGCAAACAGGCAGATATGGCAAGGAAGCCACAAGGAAAAAGTAAAGAGGAAACCCCAGCAAGATGCCTTTGAGGGCAGTGGAATGAACATGTTTGAATGATTATTTTAAAAATGAGCAAAGTGAGTCTTTCTTCTCTTTTTCTGCACCCATTGTTGCACCGCAGGCTCCCTGCATGCACAGCATGAGCTGTGAAGCCTGTCTGAGGCAGCACTTCCTCTAAAGAACCAGCAATTGGAAAACTACAGCATTCCTAAATTGTTAAGGGCTGAAGCCAGGAGAGAGCCAAAGCACCCTGACCAGAGGCTGGGCACCACCTGAGCCAGGCGTGCAGCCCTGAGCAGGGACAGCTGCCCCGCTCTGCACCACCTGTACCCGGGACAGGGCGTGCTGCTCCTCCCCATCACCTGCTCTGACACCACAGGGCACTCCTCTGGGACTGCACAGAGAAGGGTGACAGAATGGGTTTCATAAATGCATGAGCCCTGGAGCCGAGGAGGCCCTAGGGATGCATGGCTGGCCTCTGATCTCCTCATCTGGCAAGGTAAGAGCGGCGCTGGGGACGTGCTGCAATACATCCATGGGAGGAAATGTGATTTCCCCCTGCTGCTCGGAATTGCATTAGAGAACAAATCGTATTTGGGCCCCGAGTTATATTGGTTTCATAAGGCAGAAGAAGCTTCACCTACCTTTAGTGCTGAAGTCATCCACCAAAATGAGCTCTTCGATCAGGTGGGGAGGGGACCTGCTGAGGACGCTGTGGACGGAGCGCAGCAGGGTGGACCACACTTCATCCACAAAGCACATGATGATGGTGGTGGTCGGGAGGTCATCATGGACCTGCTGCTCAGAGCACCTGCAACGACAGCACGGGCTCACAGGCAACGGCCAGCCAACCTCCTGGCTCAATCTCCAGGCTCGGAGTTGGCTGGGAAAACACACAGGGAGGGGGAAATGCCAAACGTGAAATACGGAGGCAAAGTCCTGCAGTGGGATTTTGTTGGGAGAGGGAGCAGAGGGTTGGGTGGGGAGAACTCTCCTGGGCAGCCGTGGGGACAGGATGCACTTCTTTCCAACAGGGACCTCTTTTTAACTCCCTGTCCCCAGGTGATAATATCTCCCTTCTGTGAGCAAACAGGGCAACAGTGCAAAGGCAGCGAGGCCGGTCCCAACTCTACACCCCTGGCCTCAGGGACTCCTGTGAGGAAGGGATCCTGCAAGTCCCTGCTGGGCTTGGGAACCTGGGCTGTGAGAGACTGCCTCGCTGGAAAAAGAGCATTGGCATTCTGTGCAAAATGCCCAGAAATGGCCACTTCCAGAAAGGTCTGCTCAGCACAGCAACCTGTCAGACATGCAGGCAGTGAGGAGCAGTCACCAGTCCAATGTCTGCACCTCCCTCAGGGGACTCTGGAGGATGGGAAAACATCCAAATTTAATGTGTGACAGTACTGGTGAGTCTGCCCCCCTGAGCACCCTATATCTCATGCCCTGAGCACCCTCCTCAGGGATGCCCCATCCTGGCTGATCATGCCCCCAGTCCATACGAGATATTCCCTGGCCAACTGCCAGTGGTACCATCGGCAGATCCAAGGACTGATACAATTTCTCCAATGTCTATGGGCTTGTCATTTTACTCTGTAACAGCCAAAAATGCAACAGCCAGGTCAGGCCTGTGTCTTCAGTGTTCAAAAGGTGGATGATCAGCTTTCCTCCTCTTCCATCTGCAATCCAGTACAGCTTTGCTCCAGGCTGGTGAGCGGGGCTCCCTCAGCTCTTCACTCTCTGAGCAGATCCTGTGTGGGACACCTGGCAGAGCTCCTCTCCCCCAGACTGGCTGACCCCAGAACGCCCACGAATTGCTGGGACTTGCTTTCTCTCATCCCTAGGCTGAAGCCTGGCAGCAGGTTTTTCTCTCTCATCCTTCCAGAGCAGCCCAGTCCCTCCCCACACCTTCTGTCACGGGTGCTGACTTACCCACACCATACCATGCCATGCAGCAGGTGACTTTTGTTTTTGCCAGGTCAGGAAATCTGGGCCCCTGTCTAAACCTGGGTGACTTGATTGTCCCAGAGAAGCTAGGACAGGAAGCTGGGGACAGGCTGGAGGCACACAGCACTCTGGTGCTGGGGTGAGCTCAGGTGCAGGGCTCCAGCTGGGGGGCTCCCTGCCAGCCTCCTGGCCACCCCTGGCCTTCACTTGTTCGGCCTGTGTGTCTCCCTCCTCCTCGGTGGGCCCTTCCCTGCACACCCTCCTGCAGAGGCACGGTGCTCTGCAAGCACCAGCACGGTGAGCAAAGCCTGGAGAGCAGCCAGCACTGCACACAGACAGGCTGACCAAAGGATGAGACAAGACAAGGTTCCTGTTTGGCCAAATTTGAGTGGTGTAGTCCAGCACTCCAGCAAGGATCAAGAGAGGAAGCAGGGTCTGAGCTGGGAGAGACTGGAAGGATCAGGCAAAAGATAACGACGTTTGGTACCTGGGAGCTGCCAACAGCTGCTGCCGTGGGCTGCTCCTTGCAGCCCCATTTCTGCCGTGCCCACAGGCTGGGGCCAGAG